CCCTAAAATCCCCAAGCCCCTAAACCCTAAAGCCCTAAACCCCCAAACCCTAAAGCCCTAAAACCCTAAAGCCTTAGGCCTTGAAAAGCCTTCACATGCTTGCCAAGGCCGGCCATGCGGAAGCCGTGGACTTCCTCTTAGGCGCGGGGCCCGTTGAAATTGGGAGTCGAGTTCAGGGTTTATATAGGGTTTAGGGTTTAGGGTTTAGGGAGCCAGTTGCAAAAGGGTTTATCTAGGGTGATAGGGGTCAAGAAAGGTTGCAAAAAGGGTGATAGGGGGTTTAAGGGGGTTTAGGGTGAAAGGTGCTTATGGTTTAGGGCTTCGGAGTTCTTGAGAAGGGTCTTAGGGTTTAGGAGCCTACCCCTTACTGTAGAAGCTTGGTAACTTAGCACATGTTCGTACCAGAACCTAACCCGTCAAAACCCGAAAACCTCAAGAAGCCCAGCCCCAAAGCAGCGTCCCACTATCTGCAACCCGGAACCCTACAACCCTTTTGGCCCCTAAGATCGTAAACCTCCGTGAACCCTGAAACTCCTTGAACCCTCAAACTCCTAAACCTTAAAACTCCAAGAAACCGAAGCCCTAACATCCCAAGACTGTTAAAATCCGCAAATGCTGCCGGGTCGGGGCTCTGAACGCAACTCTATAAAACCCTAAAGCCCTAAAACCCTAAAATCCTAAACCCCAAGAAAGCCCAAAGGTCGCCGGGCCGGGCTGGAATCGATCTCCAAAACGGAGGGCTTCACAGCTATGCATTTTGCGGCCGCAATGGGTCGCGTGGCCTTCTTGAGAGTGCAGGAGTCTGGTGAAGGGCTTTAGCAATTCTACAGGAAGCCCTTGTTTATGGGATGTTGTAAAGCTCTTGCTGGTGGTTCTGTAGAGCCTTATAGACGGTTCTACAAGAAATGCCAGACCAACCGCAAGACACTCTGAAGCAGCACTGAGGTCACATGGAGGTGACGAAAGCTTTGATGAAAAGGGGCTGCCGCCAGGTCAAAGAGAAGAGGGGCTTGCTCCCCATTCACCTGGCCGTCAAGGCCAACAGCCCTGCCTTGGTCGAAGAACTGATGAAACCCGACAGTTGCCCGAGTACAGCTTTGTCTTTAATGCCGTGGGGAGGGCTTCTTGCAAGGAAGATCGTGTGTGCGTCTGCCCTCTTTGGAGGCCTACAACATTTGAATCCTACCCTAAACCCGAAATCCCACTTCCCTTCCTCCCCTCCCCCGCCCCAAATAAAACAAGGCCTACCCCACAGATCCAAAGCTGAGGAAAGAGTCTCTCCCTGCCGATCTCGCCCATTTCTCGGCCGAAGGGGGCCGAAAAGAAGTCCTCCGCAAAGTGCTGCGATCGAGACCCTCAGCCTTAGATTAGGGGTCTTTTCGGGGGTTGGGTTCCTACTTGGGTCCCTTTAAGAGGGTTCCTACAAAGGCATCTAGAAGGGTTTCGGGTTTAGGGGTTTCGGACTCTAAGGGCAGTAAGGGACGTTCTACAGATCGATGCATCACCAGATTGGTCCTTCCTTCAAACACTCGCAACCGACAGAAATCGCTGGCGTATCCTTCAGGATTCAGTTGTTCAGTTGTATTGGCAATCACCCAACATTGCTGCCAGAGATACGGAGTGGACTGAATGGAAACATCCCCTCATTCATTGCACATCTTGGGCAATCTGCATTTGCCTCGATCTTGTGGGTGATTTTCTGGTAGCCTCTTGGTTGGATAGGGAACATGGATGGCAATGTTACAGTCGTTGCTATTCCGAACATATGTGGCAAGTGCATATTTGTGGTATAGTTGGATATGTACAAGGCTGTGGCAACTGGTTATCCTATCAGTTTGTGCTTTCGGGTGATCTTTTTGATCTTCATGAACCTGAGATGTATGATTGTAGTCATCACCCTTATCGAGTTAAGGTCGTGTCTTTTCAAGTAGTCCCAGATCAGTGGTTGCAGACAGTGCAACACGTTTCATGTGCTCTGCCATAAGCGATGGAGTCGGGAGCTTGGCTGAAGGGATTCAGGGCTTAGTGCATTGCAGTCCCGGGTTTCGGGTCCGAAACCTATTTGTTCAACCTTTGAGGTTCTTTGTAAGGTGGTCATATTCTAGAAGGTTTAAGCTTTTAAATTTTTAGGGTTCTGAGAAGGCCGTCATATTTCGGAAAGATGGAGCTTGATTTGAGAAGCAAGGACCCAACCTGGGAAGAACTCAAGATGCTCGCGGCTTTCGGCCTCTGCATATGGCGGCCCTCGCAGGCAGTTTCTCTAAGAGACTCCTGAACCGCCTAAGTACTGGAGGGGTATACCGGTATACCCTAAATCGCATTACGGATCCCCCTAGGTATTTGGGGTTGATTCAGGAATGTTGCAGGCGCTGAACTATCAGGGGCAGCGAGCGCCTCCACCACATCATGTCGCCTCGGTTCTTGCCAGGCGCCGTCATTACTCGATTGTTCCTTCTATAAGCGAAAAAAATCACAGCAACGATAAGACCAAGAGCAACCCTAAATCTCGATAACAACCTACACCACGAAACAAGACTTGTTTTAACAACGCCGTCTCCGCCGCAACCACCATGACCAGCATCATCACGCGTCCCGACATCTCCCAGAGATATGAAATCGATTGACAACATAGGCATAATGCCATGTTGCATTGCCAACGATATCCTGAAAGCCGTTCCAATCATCATCGTCGTCGTCATCAGCATCATCCATGAGCGTCAAATAGCATGAACATGGTCATTATCATGGTTCTTATTATCGCCCTAGTCATTGATGTTTTGGACATGAATTTTGGCATTTTTGACGAACCTTCGAGATCAGGCCACCTGGAAGTTTTGGACCTTCTGGTCCGTGAAGAGGGTCTTCCGGTCGGCGATGCAGACACGCAGGGCTTCACGGCCGTGCACTTCGCAGCCAAATCTGGCCACCGTGCGACTGTCCGGCACCTTGCGGCCATGAAGGCGGACCTGAAGGTGCGCTCCAAGGACCCCGCCAGTGTAAGCAACGAGACATACATCGCCGTATCACCACCGCCTGCTTATGGTAATCCTGACGGTAAGCCTTACAGTAACCATTGTAGCAACCCTGACACATTGTAACCCTTATGCTAGCCTTAAGCAGGCCTCAGTAGCCCTTACAACTACATAGTCATTATACTACAGGCTTGTAACCCGGTCACTCCCACCCTACACCCTCAACACGAGACCCTACAGACCCTATAGCATAGAACCCGAAACCCTAAACCCGAAACCCAAAGCCCTAAGCCCTAAGCCCTAAAGCCCTAAACCCTAAACCCTAAATGCTAAACCCTAAATCAAGCCAAACGGTCCCTTCCCGAGGATGGCACCACAGCCTGGGAGGTAGCCCGAAAGCTGGGGCACTCGCCTCTCCATCTCGGCCTTCCAGCTCCAGAGACAAAGGCCCAAGGCAGGAAGGCCAAAGTGCCTCCAGATCCGGAGCTCTAGCCCTATAATGGGCAGTTGTCAAAATCATGGTCCCTTTTGGGGTACCCTAAATAATAGGTGCCGTATTATAATGAGGACCATAATAAGGATCCGGAGCTCTAGCCCTGTAATGTAAGGGCCTTAAAAAAATAAAGTAACGGTTTGGGGGGGGTATATTTTATTGTAATCATAATAAGGATCCGGAGCTCTAGCCCTATAATGTAGGGGCCTTAATAAGTAAAGTAGGGCTTGGGGGTGGTGGTATATTCTACTATATTCTACTATAATCATAATAAGGACCACCCCAAAACCCTATTCTAATTATCAAGGCCCCTATACACTATAAATCCCAATAGGGCCCGATAGAAGCCTCATGTCGTAGAACAATTTAAACTTGGCTCACCGCGATGTGCGAGGATCGTTGAGCCTGCCAGCAGATGATAGCAATCGGTTTCTCGGCCCCAAAGTGGGTCCACAGCTTCTTGTGTAGAAGCATTGACCAACTGCGGCCCGTTAAGACTGCCGTGCCAGTGTTGGGTTTTCCTGCATGCAGCGGTGTTGTGCGACATGTGTCCTCACGGTGCCCGGGTTCATGTAGTGCGCGATGGAGGGTAGGGGTGGGCTAGCTCTGAGCATCGGGTGTGTTGATCACTTCCATCTGTTGGAAGTCGCCCAGTAAGCCTACAATGCGTCTCAAGAATCCTTATGAGCACTTTTGAGGCACTGCATTCAACGTCAGAAAAGGCCGATCAAAAGAAAGGCTCATAAACCCTAAACCCTAAACCCTAAACCCCTCATATTCGTCCTTCGCTGCGTTCTTGGCCTCGGTCTCTCCAGTCTCGTCCGCTTTTTTGTGAACTCGGCCTGTTGGCACTTTGGGGCTTTAGGAATCTAGGGTTTAGGGTTTAGGGTTTAGGGCTTTAACTTCCACACCCAAACACGCCCATCTCAAGGATACCGCTTAGGTCCTTAGCACAGTGAGCTCTAGGAAACCTCGCAAGACGCCAAGCTGAAGGGAGGTCAGGACAGACTACCTTTAGTGGTCGTTCATGTTTGATTCTTGTCGGTCTTAAGGATTCCAACCTTTCTGGTTGTTGGTATCAGCAGACCAACAATGCATCAGACTTCTTTGCCTAGGAAGATGTATATGCTGCGTACTTGATGGGTATACATGTCTTAGTAGCTGAGTGAGTGCACTTTACACACTTGTTGGGGCAATATGACCGCTCAGAGAAGTGAAAGTGTATACTATTTGGGGCTTATGAACTCAACAACTAGGAGTAACTAGGATATTATATATATATATGTACATATATGCATGGATGGATGGATGGATGAATGGATGTGTTTATGCACTTTGGACTTAGTTGTTCAGTTATCCTACCCCCGGGTGGGACATGTAAGTTGTCGGCGTGAACTCTAGAACGGTTTCGAGGACGGTGACCCGCCTTCATTAGGCGCTAGCGATAGCCGTGGATCCCGTGGCCTGAACCCAAGCACCTAGCCCCAAGCCTAAACCCATTAAGCGATGGCAGTGGGTCTCTTTCCCTGTCGAAGGCCTTTGCGACCAATCCTTGACGAGCGCTTTGCTGACAAATCGCCACCCGAGCCGGATGCAGGATTGCTTCAACAGGCACCAATTATAAAGTGTATGTGGTTGGATATCCATTCTGCATTTGCTGGGGTTGGGTTGGGTTACCCGGGGCGCTGGCATCCCAGTTGGAGGCGACGAAGAAAAAGAGTAATGATGACAAGAACCATCATCATCACAATCATAATCTATTGTTCTGGGTACTGCTTTGTCTGAGTTACCTCCGCCAGACATGAGCGACCAGCGTTGCACCTCCTTACAAGGCTAGCTTGGGGGAAGCGAGGTTGGGGTCTTTTAAGGTTGAGGGGCAAAAGGGTTTAGGGTTTAGGGGCAAAGGGGCTTGTTTCCATACTCGACTGCTTGCACCTTCTTGCCCATTGTCCGTGGCCGGTTGGCTCTGCTGGAAGATCTCACGTTCGAGTTCTGCCGCGAGCGGAAGAAACACAGCATCATCTACACGGATGTGTGGCGCATATGTTCAACAGCAAGGACGCAATCTCGTTCTGGAAGCCCACGTTGGGTGTGCTTCTTGGGGGGATGGAGACATCAGAAAGAAGGGTGCGAAACAAAGGAGGACAGTGCAGAGAGGCAGCCGTGGAAGAGTGCCCGCAGTTGGCCGACGGCTTTGTTTCATTTCCCGAGCAAAAAACAAAGGAAGCGCGAGGGAGCGGGCTTGCCCTGGAGTCCCCCCTCTTGTCAGTCTGATTTCCGAAGCAGCTACCCGAAATCCCTGAAGCCTGGACCCCTACACCTCCACACACTTTACACGAAAGCTGTCATAGAAGGGGGGTTTCCGAAAATAGGGGACCCTAGTATAGTACCCTAAGTGGTGGGATCCTTATTCTAAGGACCCCCAAAACACAGTACCCCTTATTTTCGGAAACTCCCAGATAAACCATAAGCCAAACATCTTGATCTCTGTCGCATCACCCCGCCCCGCCTCCCCCCCCCACAGACTCGAGACTCCGGTACGCCCACAGGCGCAGATGGAAAATTCCCAAAACTCTCGGTCCTCAATGAAGATCCTGTGTCTGTTGTATAGGGCATCAGCCCCACGAATCCCCACCCTTCTAGAGCTCTATAATGCCCCTATGGAAACGCTTCTAGAGTTTTTTTGTTAACCTCTCCAGCAAGCTGGCCAAATTTTCCTATTAGGCCCTAAACCCTAAACCGAGGGCAAGCGCAGTTGCAAATTGTGTCAGACCTTCGACTAGGGATCCTCGCCTGGCTTGTCCGAGTTTGGACAGCGTAAACCCTAAATCCTAAACCCTAAACCCTAAAACCCTAAAACCCTAAGCCCTAAACCCTATGCCCTAACCTTCGCAGGTTTTGGGGCTCCTGGATGTCACGGGGCCCCTCCTGCCTCTGAGTCGCTGGGCGTCCAACCTGGACCTGCAGTCCTTGTGGGTCCTAAAGTGAAGGGTTTGAGGGTTTAGGGTTTAAGGTTGAGGGGGCACTTCAGGGCTCATGGGACGTAGCAAGTGAGGTTATCAGTGGGAGAACCCCACTTAGGAACTCCTGAGCCCCAATTATAATTCGACTTACTATGTCCCTTGAGCCCTTAAGTACGGCTTTGAAGGGTTTGAGATCCTCGATTCCATCCTCTTCGGCTGAGTGCTTGATACACATGGATTTTTGAGACAGTAGTATCTTGGAGTGTTCTGTGTTTCTTTGGTTTTTCATGGGGGAGTGAGGGTCGTAAATCGGGCTTCGGGCTTTTGAGTTTTGGGGTTGCGGGTGGAGGAATTAGGCTTCGATTCTTGGGGTTTATAGCGTGTAGGGTGGCTGGATGGAACTACCGTATCATGATTTTCGATTTCGTCAATATCATTGTTTGTTGTACTCTCGTCGGTGTAGCTAGTGTGACCATTCTCATGATAGGTTTCTCGTCATTGTGAATTTCAGCCCAAGCACTGGCACTACTAATTATGCACAAGAAGCAGTGGCAGTCGTATCAACATTTGACATTTGATTTAGGGGCATGAGGGCTTGCAGTAACCTGAACCCGAACAGAATTGGTGTGTAGATGGATAGGGGCACCTGAACTAGCTTGCTCGATCATCCGATCTGGACAACCTTGTGATAAGGGCCCACAACTCGCAAGTGTCGTTCAGTAGCTATACCTGTACAGCAACCGGGACTGTCACCCTAATAGTACCCTTGTAGCTACAGCGCCCTGCCTCAAGAAAGAAGCGTTCTTAAAAGTTCCCGAATAGTCCCTAAGCCCTAAAACCCTCAACCCTCCCTTAGCCCTGAACCCTAAGCCCTCAACCCTCAACCCTCCCTTAGGCCCTAAACCCTAAAACCCTCAACCCTCAACCCTCCCTTAACATTTAAAGTAGACTGGAAAGTCCTTAGGGCGGCTGGAGAGACCAGATGCAGCCTCGGCTGAGTTGTGGACCCTCGATCCGACCGAATCCAAGCGCCATACCCCTCCATCCCGTCCGCTTTTTAGATATGTATGTATCTGTTTACTTGTACATCTATATATATATATATGTATGTGTATGTATGGCTGTGTATGTATGAATATATCTATGTGTATATATATATATACATATGAAGCCTATGTTTGCATGATCCACCCCTTATGTATCAATATGTACATGTAACATGATGCGCATCTGTATGTGTACATAATACATATGTATGCTCACCCCCCCCCCCCGTTGACAGACCGCGGCGCGCATACAGTGTGTTCCTGGCAAGTGAGCCTGCTGATTAAAACCTGTTCGTGATTGCCGCCGTTGGCTTTTAACATTGGTTTTAGTACTTTCCTTTGGTATTGAGACTGGCGTTAATTTTTATAGTAGCA